TAATATCTTTTTTAACTGCAAGTAAAAGATTATTTTGATTTGGCGAATTTTGAAGAAACTCTAAAATACCTTATGAATGAAAATATAAAGCTGCAGCATTATAATATAATATATTAAATTGGTTACCAACAAAGGGTGCAAGTATACACTTACTTTGTCCTTTACCAGCAAGAAATGCATTAAAATACCCAGCAACATCAGCTTCATCACTTCTCCTAACATAAAAAGCTTTACATGCAGTTCTTATCAATCTAGTGGCACCTGATTCAGCAGTATTGAATGCAAAAATATTTTCGTAACTACTTAAAAAAAAAAACTAACTTTTCGAACGAGTTAATTGTTTTATCAGTTTCTGTTAAAAAGTTAGTTAGTAAATGCAATTTACAAAAAATGTTAAACATTTCAATGAAATCTGCTTGCTCTCCTATTTTTAAACCTTCCCAGTTCTTTTTAACTTTAGGCAGTAACTTTTTTCTCATATCTTTAAGCTTTAAATTAAACAGTGGATTAACTGGTCCAAGATCAGACATGGTAGTTTTAAAACAACATACAAGGTTAGAAAAATCGTTTTCCTTGCTGCTACTTTCTAAAATGTCGCATATATCATCTAATATTTTTGTGTATGCATTAATAGTACAATCTGCATCACTGCCAGCCATTTCACATAATCCAAAAGATAAAGTACTTCCGTTTTTGGTAGTAGCTTGGAAATTTTGAAAATGTCTATGATGTTTAGTGGTACCGTCACTATGAAGACATTATCCCGAATTATTTTCTACAGGGTTTAAGCAAGCGCTAATGCCTCAGTCATAAATCGAGATTTTGTACCAATTGAGGGAAGCTTCTATATATCTACCTTTGCTAGTTTTTTTAAAACAATTGTGATAACTTCATTAACTTTGTTCATGCTGACATTCAAACAAACTAACTCCATAATAACTTCTCTTATATCATTAGAATACCTTCCATTTTGAAATGTTTCTATTTTACGATCATGGAAAAGACAAATTAAATTAAAATCTTTATTTTCTTTGCTATAGTGTTAGGAGAGTCAGTATTTGAACTATTAGAAGAAAAAATTTTATGTTTATTTACTACCATGCTAAACTTCTTGTTTGCATAATACAATTTTTTGCATGTAATTCTTTTTTACTCATGAAGGTGTGCAACTTTATTGTCACTTTTTTCAAGCTTACCTAACAAAAGTTTAACTTTTTTATTAAGATTTGTAATGACTTTATTATAGAAATCTTTAATTAAGGAAAGTAGAAATCCGCGTTTTACGGAACCGAATTTTGTGCTAAAAAACTGTGCCACGCCTTTTAGAATTTTTTTTTAGCTAGCGTAGGCAAGACGTGTTTAGTTGGAAAACTTTTTAGAATTTGATATTAATATAGATTATTTTTAGAAACTAGAATAGTTAAACTTTGTTACTGTTAGTAGGTTTATTATTTTACTAGATAGCTTTTTTAAAGAGTTTCTTGATGTCTAAAACTTTATTGTACTTTGGGCATGAAATTAATGTCGAAGATATGCTCAATCATTTTTCTATACTATTCTTTCATTTAAGTTTTTCATTTATCTATGCACCTGGAAAGTTTCATTGAAAAAAAAGTTGTAGCAGGGTTCTATTTTTTGCCGCACTTTTGGTACCTAATTCTCATTTTGCTGAAATGGGCGCGGAAGACAGGAGTTAATGAAACATTTTTTATATTTGATTTAGATTGAATAACATTTTCAGTTTTTTTTTTTAAATTAAATAAAATGGAAAGTCAAAATAATGATAAAGGTTTTCAATATTGTTTCATATTTATTAAAATTAAAAAAAAATTATTTGCCTTTGATGTAAAGTTATTAAAATTTAATACTTTAAACTTTAAAGTAACTTACTTTAAAGTAACTTACTTTAAAGCTTAAAGTATTAAATTACTTAGTAAGGAAACATTAGTTTACTTACCTTACTTAGTAAGGAAACATTAAAATTCATTTAAATTAAATGAATTTTAATGTTACTTTAAAGTTTAAAGGGATCCCAAACTCCCGACACATGTTGTGTTCATATTAAAGATAATGTTAAAAAAAAAGGTTTGAACCAAGTTTTTTTGCTTAAAAATAAATAATGAATGCATACCGAGAAAAACTAACGTTGTTTTAGACGAAGCTCGCCTTCTCCATTTTTTTTCAATAATTCGGAGTCTTTAAATTATAGGTCGCAATCTACAGACTTTGGCGATTCCTATGAAGCGCGTTTAATTCATAAAAGTTTTACTATTTGACATCACGGTAGACTTTTAACAAATGAAACTCTGGAAGTATTTTTTATTTATTTTTATTTGAACTTTTTTTGATTTTATGTAGTTTTTTTTTTCTATTTTTAACATTTAAAAAGATATTAAAAACCTCAAATATTTTATGCTGGTTCGTTGCTATAAATTGTTATTGCGCCATGTATTTAATGTTTATAAATTATGAATATTTATTATCTCAATCAAGATTCTGATAAAAAATTGTTTTACATTAATTGCCCTTATAAAATTAGTAAAAGCATTTTTATTTAGTTAGATAATATTTTGTCTCAATTTGCTTTGCATACAGTTTGGGAAGTCAAGCGAAAAAAATTAGTTTGAATAATCACTTTGAAATATATTCAAACAAATTACTTTAATGATGGGAGTTTAAAAGTTTTTTATAACAAATGTAGGTAACAAATAAATAATTAAATAAAAAGTTCAACATTAAACATCATTTCTTTATTATATTGCAACTGTAAATATTGAAATATTAACTTTAACTAAATTTACTTATTATTTAGAGCGACTAAACAATAAAATTAAAAAACCCCTAAAATTATGCGATATTGTTAGAGATGGTGACGTTTTTCTGTTCGCCCGTGTTCGTACAGTCCGAACCACCGAACCGATCGAACACGAGCAACAATAATTTTGTCAAACAACCCGAACAACCTGGACACCCCAAACACCGGACAGAAAAACTAATGTCGAACCGAACACCGATTGATCACCGAACAGTCATTGAACTAAAAATCTCGAACGCAGTCGGACGTCGAACATGCAAAAAAATGAAAAATAAAAAATGACACAAGAATCGGACAATTTTTCATATTTACAGGTTCGTAGTAATTTCTAGTAAAGATTTAAGTGCAGTATATACAGCCTGTATAATACAGGTAGTAAATTAAAAAAAAAAGTTCAGTAAGTTTTCAATAAGTTTTCTTAGTGTTTGTCCTTGGCATTGAAATGGGAATTTTGCAGTTCCTTGTCCATTCGAAGTAGCATCAAGCCTTCAATTGTTTCTGGTGCAAGATTGGCTCTCCTGTCATTAGTAATCAGCTTTGCAATGGAATTCATTTGTTCACTTGGGGCTGAGGTAGCAGGAATGGCAAGAACAAAGCTAGATACAATGAACAAAGCTAGATACAAAATTTATTTTTTCCCCACCACTTTAGTGCTTCATTCCCCAAATTTTTTAAATCTTAAACATTTGGTGCCACAACTTCAATTCTACTATATTGTTCAATTTCATTATTCTCAACAGGGGCTGTTGAGTCAATAAAGGAAGAAAGTGAAGGCAAAATGTGGTTAGAAAAAGTCTTGGTAAAGGAGTGCTGCTTTTTCTGAGGTGGAGAATTGGTCGGTGATGAGTCTGTCTTTTCAAAATTACAATATTGTATAAGACGTCGCAGGTTTTCCTTTGTTTCTTTAAGCTTGGCAGAAGCATTTTGTCCGAAGACTTTGAAAGACTTGCAAAAAGGAATAAGAAACATTTTGAATTTATCAGACAAAATGTCAGTTGCAAAACTTGACAAGTACGTAATAATATCTCTTTGGTTTTCATAGTCCTGTTTGAAGACCTGAGAATTATATTAAGTTTCAAAGTCAGAATCATTAACCCAACTCAAGAAGTTTTCAACTGGAAGAGTGTTTGCCATGTCAGTGTCATCATCAATTACATAAGACTCTGGGTTGTCTGATTCAGGAGTAATGTTCAAAGGAATCTGTGCAAAAGATGAGGAGAAAGACTTGAAGTAAATATTCTTGCATACTAAAATTTAACAAAATTGACATATAATAGGGAGTTTTGTCACGTGACATTTTATCGCGGAAAAAAATCGTTAACATATTTTTGAAAAACTTCGTCCAAAAAACGCCCGAAATGATTTTATGTAGGTTTTGAAGAATAAAAACCCACCCATGAAAATAAATATTATATACGTACATGTAGATGTTATTTTTTTTAGAAAAGGTTGTACTACAATAATTTGTTTGGGGACGACGTTTTGGTTTAAAATTGATAAAGTTATTTAGTTTTAAATCTTTCAGTTTTGTTAAAATGCAAGTAAATTAAAATAACTCTTTCGTCCCCACGTAAAAATAAGTTCTGCTTTATATATATATACATATATATATATATATATATATATATATATATATATATATATATATATATATATATATATATATATATATATATATATATATATATATATATATATATATATATATATATATATACATATATATACATATATATATATATATATATATATATATATATATATATATACATATATATATATATATATATATATATATATATATATATATATATATATTTATATATATATATAATATATATATATATAAAAATATATAACATATATATATATATAAATATATATATATATATATATTTATATATATATATATAAATATATATATATATATATATATATATATTTATATATATATATATATATATATATATATATATATATTTATATATATATATATATATATATATATATATATATATATATATATATATATATATATATATATATATATATATATATATATATATATATATTTATATATATATATATATATATATATAAATATATATTATATATATATATATATATATATATATATATATATATATATATATATATATATATATATATATATATATATAATATATTAGGTACGTGCGTATCTGGCTATTTACGGCACCGATTTATAAGTAAAAAACTGTGACCGTTTTTTTCACAGCGTGCTCGAAGTCGGTGTGGTAAGGATGTATTTATTAGTCTTTTTTTTTAGAATTTTATATCAGCTTAGACTTTTTTTGAAAAGTAGAATATTTTATGTTGTATAAATTATGTTTTTTTTCCAAAAGTATTAAGTTTTTCAGTGATTTTATTGATCTTTAAAATTTTGTTCGTGTTCTGGAAGTGCATTGATATTGAAGGCATGTTGCTACACATTTAAAATTTTCCAGTCAGCTGTGTAAATCTATTTTCTATGTTCCTGCCAAATTTCATTAAAAAATATTTATGCGCAGACACCCTATTTTGCCACCTAGTGGAGGTACATTTTCTACCTTTTTTACAACTACTGTTACTGTTACACGTTATTAAACTGTTTCTGTTAATGTTACTGTTACTTCTTGATATAAATTCCGTTGTTTTTTTTACATTTACTAGTGATTTTTATTAGATTTTCAAATTTCGTTTCTGTTCTGGAGGTACATTAATATTGAAGCCATGTTGCTACACTTTTAAAATTTTCCAGTAAGCAGTATAAATCTATTTTCTATGTGCCTGCCAAATTTCATTAAAAAATATTCATGCGCAGACACCCTATTTTTCTGTACAGTGGAGGTATGTATTTCCACTTCCGTTTAGGCGGGGAAGGGGGGGGTCGTAATTTGATGGTGAGCATTTGGTATATTAGATTGTTTATTCATAATAATGAGATATATAGATAGCTTTCATTAAAAAGGTATACAATTTTTTTTTTCAATAGCCTTTTATTAGTACTAAATGGCTATTGAAAAAAAAAAGTTGTTAGTAATAATATTACTAACACTATTGATGATTTCACACACCAAAATTAGTTTCAAGGCTAAATTCTGTTAAATCTAATTTCAAATGCTGAAATAAAAATTATGACACTTTTTTATGGTGATTCAGAATAAAATGCGAAATAATGATAACAAACAAAAACAGCATTTTCTCAATTTTTTTCTGTACCCATAATTTACCATACAACCACCAACCAGCATTATTTATGATATATAAAAATTATATATATCTATAATTTTTTATTGACTACAGGCAACTTATTAGTTAGTTAATTGTGATTGATTGCTGACCCAATTAAATAGTAATTAAATATTAATAATGATTAAATTACAATTAAAGTAGTGTTATGATTGTAGAATTTAATTTAGTGCATCATGGGACCTAAAAAGAAAACAAATCTATTTTATGGTAAAGCTAAATCTTATTTAGTTTGTAATTTTCCAATACCAGCTCATTTAAATATGGGCTGTAGAAATGGACATGTACTGCATATATTGGCAACTAACAATGATTCATACCAAGTAACTGTAGAACTAATCAGTAAGTATTTTAACATCAACATTTTTCCCAATCAGATTCTGCAACTAGTTAGAAAATCAAAAGTCTTTGTAAAAGCTTTTTCATGAAATTCAAAACAATTTATTGACATCTGCAACATGCTCTTTGAATACCAACCAACAACATCTGGTGTGACTCAAACATCACAGTTAATCACAGCCTCTAATCACATAGCTACGTGTTCTTCATTTTTTTCTCAGCAAATCGCTGTTTCGTCTCTATCAAATAGTGACTCTTCTCAAGAATCATTATCCAGGTTGAGAGCTGACCAGGTTAGTCCCAGGAAAAAGGTTATGAGAAAGAGATTAACCATTTTGGAAAACGAAATCGCAATTAAAAAGAGAAAACATAAAGAAGATCTTAAAGGTTTAAGAGAAAAGGCAAGAGCTAGACCATACAGATTAAAATATCTAAATCAAGTTATTGCTCGTAAGGAAAAGATAATTCATCAACTTAGAAAAAAATTAAAAGAAAATTTTTTAAATATACAGTTAAAAAAACTTCAAAATCAAATTTTTTATTTGAAACAACAGTTAACATTCACCGAAACCAAGTTTTTTAATCAAAAGACAATGTTATCCCAACAACTTGCTGACAAAAATTCTGCAATTCTTGTACTTCAAAATGACATACTGGTTTTACAGGAAAAGTTTGAAGATATTCAGCAAGTAACACAAAACACCAAAAATAAAAAATGCTACTCAGCAGATATCAGAACACTTATATATGACATGCTTATGTGCCAAGCTCCTACACATAGTGTGCCATCTCTGCTCCATAAAATTGGAGAACATACTGGCTATCAATTTAGTCAAATTCCACATCGGACAACTGTAGAACAAATGATGCGTGAGCTTGGTGTTCTTTCAGACTTACAGACTGCTGAGATAGCATTTACAACGAAAGATCTGACACTTGGTTTTGATGCAACAACCCAGGAGGGTGTTCATGTAAATGCTGTGCACTTAACAACCGAATCAGTATGTATGGTTGTAGCTATTGATCAACTTCCTGGAGGTACAGCTTATGACTATCAGAGTCATATTACAAAATCTGTTGATAATCTTGCTAAGTTATATAGTGACTTCTACAAGCTTAAATACACTGATGTAAAAAGCACTATTATCGGGAACATAACAAATACCATGAGTGATAGAGTTGCAACAAACCATGCAACAGTCTCAAAGTTAAACCTAGTTTGGCAGAAATCATTAAATGAACTTAACTGTCACCTTCACCCCTTGGACACAATGACAAGCTCTTGCAAGTCTTCACTTAAAGCATTAGAGACTTCAAAAGGGAAATTTTTTGGAAAAGACTGCATAGCAGCAAACATTGTTGTACAGCTGAACAAACTTCGTTACAAGGATGCTAAAGGTACCTATATAGTTTTAAAACCATTCTTTTACTTTAATATAGTGTAGTTTTGTAAATAAAATTGCAAGTTAAAAATATATAAATATTATAATTATTGCATGTTTTTAATTCATATTCTCCTTGCAATTCCCAAAATGACTTTCTTTATGTTATTCATAGGCGATCCAAAGGGTTTTGTAACCTTTTTGGACCAACATGAGTTGCCCAGAGGATTGCTACCACGCTATAGAGGGAACAGACTACATATACTTTTTCACACATGTGGTATTTTGATCCATCATTATGCCATATTGAAGATATTTCTGTGTTCTGGCTTGGCGTTATGTGGAGGTCTGCGAAATAGTTTGTTTCAAGACTTTACATCTGAAATAGATATACCACTATTATTTACAATATTATAGGTTATAGAATGCATCTTTATAACATAGTAATGACACATGATTAACAAAGAATAAAGACAAATTTTATTTTTTGTTACTTATTAACTAATTTACCTTAGGTATCTGTGAGTTGTGTGTTTTAGCTTTAATTGGAAAGCTACTTTCTGGCCCTTGGATGACAAAATTTTATATTGCACCAGATACAGGACTTGACTACATATCTGGCATTCAGGTAGTAAAAGATGTTAGGAACACTCTTATTGAGAGCAGCAAGAATCCCTTATCTCTACTTAAACGAAAAACTGATTTCTTTGGTAATGATATTAAAGATGTTGTTTTTGATTCAATAATCAGCTTTTGCCCAGTAACTAATGAAATGAGTAAAGCATTAGGTGACTGTCTTAATGCTGTTATTAGCGTCATTGACAGGCAGTACAAGCGTCAGTTCGAAATGAGTTCTAATGATCTTCTTAAAGACCAGACTAAGTCAGCTAGGCTTCACAACATTGATTCAGAAGAACTTTTGGGTATGTTTAGCGCTGCAAAGCACAAAGCTCCTAATGCTACTCTTTGTTTTCTTTCTTCGAAACTTCGTGCTTCCAAAAATAAAACAACTGCTCTGCTTTGTAAAAACAAGTTGATATTATATATTATTATCTCTAATGTTAGGAAAAATCGATTTACAAGTATGCAATGTCATAATGAACTGAAGTTAGAACTGCTAAAGCGAATGGCGGTAAAATTCAGAAAAGGGAGGACAAAGACCGCAGAAAGGCAGAAAAAATATTAAAAAGTAGCATGCCCGATCAGGTAAAAGAAATGTTTCCTGACCTAGAAAATAACGAGGCCTCAGATATTGAAGAAATTCTTATTGGAGCTGCTATTGGAAGAAGTATTTGCCACATGTGGTTCGATAATGCCAATAACACCCATGAGGTATATTACGGCAAAATTGTTAGCATTAAAAAGAAGAACAATGATATATATATATAGTTTCTTATTGGAAACCAAAAGAAAATGAAGATGATGACGGTGTTGAGTATGATATGAGCAAATATCAACTTTCTGCAGACATAATAAGCGGTGATATGGTGATAACATAACAGAATTGTGTAATAATAAGGTAAATGTTATTTTAAGTATTAGTATGTCTTATAAACTTGCATTAACAGATATTATTTACAGATAGTAGGTGAATTTATTTTTTTTTTTTTATAAATAAATTTTGCTATGCCTAATATATATCTAATTCCTTCCTTTTTTTGTAGTATTATGAAAAGATTTATAATTTTTTAATTTGTTTTTATATATACATATATTTATATAGAAGTTTAATTTTAGGTAGTCGGGTAGTTACCGACATCCAACAACCAGGGTTGACCTGGTTACAACGTGCTATGGGAAACCAAAGCTCGTTTACTTTTTGACATAAGCAAATTGCTTGGCTTATGACAAAAATAATGTTTATCATTGATGTTTTTCATTATCAATGATGGCAATGCATTTTTCTATCAAGTATAACAGAGTTTCGCTTGCGTGGATTGAGAGATGTTAGTGTTCCATTACAATAAATCCCTTTAAAATTAAAATTTTTGTTTATTATTTATTTGCTTGCCATTACCAGAGAGTAATTACTAGATAACTTTTTCTTCATTATAATTTTTAATCAATTCTTTTATATTTCAGGTTAAACAGTATTGAAGGGTCGGCTATCGATTTTTTTGTTTGGTAATGGGAAGTTTGTTGTGTATCAGGAGTTAAGTGATTTTGAATTTTTTAACTTAATAAATCATTCTCATATTTAGTAATCTCTAATGGGTTTTTCAGTTATGGTGCTAAATATCTAATGCATTTTCATTTATTTTTTATTGCAAGGTTTTAACAATAATGGCAATTTGCTACTGTGGATATTTATGTTAAAGACCTCAAGATTATATTTATTAATTCAGTAATTACAGTTAAATGTTAATTCATTATACATTAGTTAATTGTTAGCCTTAATTTTTATTATTTTTTTAATTTTATATCTGATATATTTTTTCTTATTGCAAGGTTAAACATCATGATGAAAACTACATGGTTGCTTCAGTGGGTGTTGATCTTTTTCATATCAAGATTAAACCGGTTAGATCATATTTATTTAGAGGTTTATTGTGTTTATTAATGCAGTAATAACAGTTATATATTATTTATTATCCGGGACATAGGGCATCCTTATTAAATAGGTATTGCGATATTAGTTTTGAGAAATTTTTACTTTATTTTAGATATTATTGGATGTGGTTTCCTTTGCGTACTAAAGAATCGACTCTTTCTATCTATGGATATCACAGTTTTGTTTGCTTCAAAATCTAGGCTTTTTTCAAAGCTTTCAAATTCTGTTAATAACATTACTGAGCAAAAAAGAATTTTTTTTGTTAAAGAAGTGTGTTTTAAAATAGTTTTAGTTTTTGCGGTTTGTTGGAATTTATATATAGTTAGATATATGGGGCTATGGAAGGGAAAAGGAAGGAGAGCAGTGGTGGACATCCCCCCACCCACCCCACCCATTTGTTTAGTTGGATATTTTTTTAGTAGGTTTTTAGTTAAATTATATGGTGTAACTGACACGGCTTTTAAAGTGGGGAGGGGGGCCAACTCCCTAATTTCAAAAAAAAACAACCTACATTTCTAAAAAAAAGGTCCTCGAAGCAATTAGTGGGGGAGGAGGCATAGCCCCCTATGGTGTCGACGGCCATGAAAGAGGGAGGTGAGACCCCTTCCGTGAATGAATTTTTTGTTTATTTAGTTGGCAAAATATATCTTTATATCTATATATATCTTTCATTGAAAAAGATAAAAATAAGCATAAATAGAGAGCGAAAACGCTAAGGCTTTAAATGTCTTTAAAGTTCATCTATACGCTATAGAAAACCTAAGGTAAATTAGTTAAATTGTAAATATCGTTAAAATACACGATATTTTATTTAAAATTTTGTTATAGATTTTAATATTAAGTTTTTATCATTAAAAATATTTTTGTTATAAATTGTTAAAAAATTTTTGTTATATTAAAAACTTTTTTTAAAATGTTATTAACTCGTTTTGCATATTTCACTAAGCAAAATCATGCGCAAATTAACAATAACATTCTACAAAGCTACCGTTAGCCGAACGCGAGTTTTTTACGATGGTTGCATTTTTGCTAAGCAATCCTTCATAAAAATAATGTTACTTAAATAAGCATAACTTTTTTTGTAATTGTTCGTTTTTCATAAAATTTTCACCATTTTAATATAAATTCAAAGCTCTTTCGAATCATATATAATACTTAAATGAATAAATGGTTTAAAATTTTTACACACGTACCTATATTATAATATATATATATATATATATATATATATATATATATATATATATATATATATATATATATATATATATATATATATATATATATATATATATATATATATATATATATATATATATATATATATTTATTGATAAATGTTGTATACTGCTGGAAATACAACTCTTGTCTGTTTAAGAGTGATCAATATCTTTTTTTTAAAAAAAGATCAAATTATAATAAAATAATTTATTTGAAAAAAATACAACTTTATGATGGAACTAATAGTTTCATGCCATTCGGCAATCATCGGCAAATAATATGGCTGATGATTGCCGAATGGCATGAAACTATTAGTTCCATCATAAAGTTGTATTTTTTTCATTTAAATTGTTTTATTATATATATATATATATATATATACATATATATATATATATATATATATATATATATATATATATATATATATATATATATATATATATATATATATGTATATATATATATATATATATACATATATATATATATATATATATATATATATATATATATATATATATATATATATATATATATATATATATAATAAGTAAAAGACTTTGAAATAATATATTTATATGTTTATATATTTGTTCGAATTGATGACTGGAAAATCTTTATTTATTTAGATAAAATGATAAATGAAAGTATTTATGATTGGTATTTGGCTTTAAAAGATACATCTTATGATGCAATATATTGTAGATATTGTTTGGATTTTAAAGTTGAACTGTTCTGCTGCAAGAAAGCTTTAGCCAAAAAGATAAATAGATTAGTTGACACCATCAGAAAATTAAAGAAACAACGAAAAAATAAAAAATTAGCATTGTTATTAGGTGAAGCCTTTTTTCCACCTGTGGCAAATTTTCTGATAATACAGTTAGTGCATCAGAAATTCCTAAAGAAACAATACTGATAAGCGAAAACAAAATGCTTAAAAAAGAAAATAAAATTTTAAAAAGGAAAATGGAATTTATGATGGATTTACAAATGGATTATTTTACACATCTAAAAGATTTTGAAAATATGTCAAACAATCTAAAAATTTTTATTTCGAAAAACTCTATAATAGAAGCTGAATTAAACTTTATTAAAAAGTGTTATTGTGAAAAAGAAGAAAAGCCTAATAATATTGAAAACAAATTAGAGCTATTAAAGTCAAAAAAAGAATCATTTAATGTTAGAAATATGAATAAAAAAATAAAATATCGTGATACTCAGCTGGAAATAAAAAAGAATAAAATAAATTCGTTAAAAAATGAAGAAAATGATGACATTCGAGAAACAATAATGAAACTTCTTTCAATGAACGTGAGTATGAATAGTGTCAATGAAGTCATAAAAGTAGTTTTAAACAAACTAGCCAAAAAGAACATATCTAGACTGCCATCAGCCGCTGTAAAATGTAGGTTAATGCAGGAAGCTTCAATTTTAGGTCAATTTCAAGTTGCAGAAGCAATGCTTGAAAATAATTTGATAAATAAAAACTCTAAAATAGGCAATTGTTTGCATGGTGATGGTACTCAGAAATACCATAGGCATTATCAAAACTTTCAAATTACTACAACTAGTGGGAAAACTTTATCTTTTGGTCTGTCAGAAGTGGTTGGCAAAGATGCAGCAACTGTTTTGCAAAACTTTACTAATATAGTAGATGACATTTGTGACGTTGTTAGCAACTCAGCCACTGAAAAAGAAATTAATTTTGCTAAACTAATAACATCAATAAAATCAACAATGTCTGATCTTTCTTCGGTTAATCCTCTTTTTAACTCACAGTTAAAAACATTAAGGTAAAAACTTTTGCCTATTGCAATTAGTAACTACCCGAGAAAAAAAAACCCGCTAATACTACTAGGAATATGTTTAACTTCCTGCTAATCCTGTTAAGTTCCTGCTAATACGGCTAATCCTGGTGAGTTTTCGCTTAATACGGCTAAACCTATTAAGTTTCCCATTAGTGAAATGGCGTTTATGAATTTCCTGCTAATCCTAGTAAGTTCCTACTAAGTACTTATCAGGATTAAACGAATTACTTAGTAAGTTCCTAGTAAGTTTTTAAAAATAAAACAAGTATAAAAAATCGTCTTTGTTATACGCCATCTTTTATTTATTCACACGGAAAACAAGTCAGCTTTTTTAGATTCAATAGTTTTACTAATTAATATTTGTAATTCTATAAGGAAAAAGCTCAAGAACATCTGGTGATGATTGCGTGGTTTGCAGTTTATTTGATGAATATTTGTTAATGTGTTATAATATGGTTTTAAATGTTAATTTTAACTCTATATATGCTTTAAATGTTAATTTTAACTCTATATATATTCGAGCATTTTCTGTTGTATCAATTCGAGCATTTTCTGATTCATAGTGATATGTATGGTGATGTGTTTTTTAAATTATATTATATTTTTATTTCTGATGTTTTTATTTTCATTGTTTATGATTTTGTATTGTTTAATAAACATAAAATCATAAATCATAAACAATTATATTGTCACTCTTTCTTTTTACTATTTCTTTTTACTAAAAAGAGTAAGTGATATCTTTATTAATAAAGATTTGTCACTTTTTTTAAGTAAAAAGAAAGACTTTTATTTTTAATTTTCTTAAAATTTTATTTGTAATTTTATTTAAAAAGTCAAATTTTTATGTCAAAAAACCACTCACTTCAAGCTTGACTAAAAGTTTTAGTCAGACAAAAGGGAGTAAACCATTTGACATTAAAAATTGATCAATTTTGAAAATCACTCTCTCATAAAATATATATAAACATTTTTTACTGGTAAATATATTTTTATTGTTATCTCTTGTTAACAAGATTTAACATTTCTTTTTAACATGTTAAACAAACTATAAAATTATTGAATATTGTTATATTTTGTATTATAATTTTTATTTGCTTAACATAAAGATTTTTGTTATAAATGCCATTATATAAATTAATTTAAAATTTCCATAATTTAATTTTATGATATTTTGATTAATTACTACTGTATATAGTTATATAATGCTAGTTACTCAAGTTTTTATTAATATATATATATATATATATATATATATATATATATATATATATATATATATATATATATATATATATATATATATATATATATATATAAACACACACAATATGTTTAGTTCCATCTCAAACCATTTACAATCAATTAGCTTCAGGTAACTATTTTATTTTCTGTTTTTTTATATATAATGTGATTAAGCATAATTATTCATTAATCATGTTGAATTTAAATGAAGAACTTGAAATTTTTTGAGTGTGTGTGTGTATGTAAATATATATATATATATATATATATATATATATATATATATATATATATATATATATATATATATATATATATATATATATATATATATATATATATATATGTATATATATATATATGTATATATATATATATATATATATATATATATATATATATATATATATATATATATATATATATATATATATATATATATATATATAATATATATATATATATATATATGTATATATATATATGTATATATATATATATATATATATATATATATATATATATATATATATATATATATATATATATATAATATATATATATATATATATATATATATATATATATATATATTTATATATATATACATTTATATATACACAATATATATATATATATATATATATATTTATATATATATATATATATATATATATATATATATATATATATATATATATATATATATATGTACATCCTGCAAAATTCAGGTTGGTAATGCCAACGCAAAAGCCAACCTATTTTTGCTTCATGCCGGCATGCAACTGCTGACCTAAATCTTTGTAACAAGTAGCAAAAGTAATTTTTTTGTCCACCTGACAAATATTTATTATTTTGATAAATAAAAAAATGATAATTTTGAAATAGACAAAATAAAAAAATAAAAACTAAGAAAAATTTAAGAAGATTTTTTCTTATATAAAAAGATGTTCATCAAAGTCTTTTAGATCTTTTTAGTCTAATAGACTCCAT